TGGAAGGAATGCGAAGATCCAACAGAAGATCTAGAAAAGCTGATTAAAGTACTACGCAGCTGTGCAGGGCAGGCAATCTTACTGTAGAAAGAGGCTCGGGACGGTTAACGAACAACACCAAAGAATTTCTTCAAAAAAGGAGAATCCTGCACGCAGATTCAAGTGTATCACATCTCGAGCAAGTACTGTTCACGGCATTTGCAGGAAAACCGTACAGGAGGATCTGAAGTGATATCGACAAATGAAGATATTGGAAGCAGCACAGAACAGGAGAAGCCCGAAGAGATGTAGTGACCTTCGCGAGCACGAAATACCGATGCAAGCTCTACTGAGTAAAGACGGAAAACTCTTAAACTCCCGACGCGAAATGGAAGCGATAACAAGGGACTTATACAACGAACTTTTTCGATCCACGAGGCTGGTATCAGATCCTATCATCCCTACCGGTGAGCAGCCACAGAGTATTCTTCCTTCGGGGGTACGCTCAGCCATAGAGTGCATGAAGCCAGGCACAGCCCCTGGTCCTGACGGAATCACCGCTAACTTGAGTACTGAGAGCAGGCGGACACAAGTTACACACGCTACTGGCAACTCATATGACCCGCTACCTGGAGAAGGAAAGAATACTCAGTGGAGGACACCCGCACTATTCTTCTTCACAAGAAAGGCGGAAGAGAAGACCTTAAGAATTATCGATCGATGAGCTTGTTAAGTGTGCTTTACAAGCTGTTCACGAAGATCATCATGTCGCGTATTTCAAGGACATTGGAGGAAGCACAACCGACTGAGCAAGCAGAATTCCGCAGAGGATTCAGCTGCATCGATTAAATCCAAACCGTCTCGAGAGTAGCAGAGGTCTGCCGTGAATACCAACTGCCCCTACTCCTCAACTTCGTCGATTACGAAAAGGCCTTCGATAGTGTGGAAATCAACCGTTTTAACTGCTTCGATCGACCAAGGCGTGGGCCCAGCATACAAAAGGACTATAGCGGACTGCAACAAAGAATGCACCAGCACGATACAGCTGTTTGACCACCCGCTCCACATCCGTATCGAGAAAGAAGTTCGACAAGGCGACACGTTGTCGCCAAAGCTATTTACGCAGTACTGCAATGGTGCATGCAGTCGCTCGATTGGGAAACGAAGGGGAATTGCCTGCATGGAAGGTACCTTTCGAACCTCCGTTTTGCAGACCATATCGTATTGTTCTCGAAGTCTGTTAACGAAGCCGAAGAGATGCTGGGCAAATTGAACGAAAGCGGGAGAATTATTGGGCTCAGGATAAATCGAAGGAAGACGCAGTTCAGTGCGCCGATAGAGGAGACTTCATCTTACGTTTACCTTGGACGCGCTATCAATATGAACAACGACATGAATGCTGAACTTAGCCGAAGACAAAGAGCAGCTTGGGCAGCATTCGGCCCTCTGAGAGAGGCTACAGACAATCTTGCTGATCCGGAGTTGCGCGCTCATCTTTTCAATGCGACAGTTCTCCCGGCCTTGTGTTACGCAGCCGAAACCTGGGCTGATACATCAGCAACCGTGAAGGCACTACGAAGGGCACTCGGCACATAGGGCACTCGAAAGAAAACTTCTGAAGATGACCAATTTCAGACAGTATCGACTTGGAATCCGGAGCTCCGACCTCAGACAACAATCCAGCAGAGTACGTATCGAAGAATAAGCAAAGATGCGCCGGTCATGTATTGAAAAGAGAAGACGATAGATGGACAAAAAGAACGATAGAATAGATTCCAAGATCCCCGAAACGTCCACGCGGAAGACTACCGAAGAGATGGTGTGACGAATTTGTTGCCCGTGTAAACCAACTGCGTCAGCAGTTGGGGTTTAATTCAGGATCGTCCAGCAGCAATCGCAACCGCGTACCAAGACGATCATGGATGACAATTGTACGAAACCATAACGAATGGTCAAAAGTTGGGTCCGCACAACGTGTGAGGACGGGCCATCTAAGTAAGCTAAGTAAGTAAATAGGTAAAGTATATTGCACACCGTTCAGCAACTAACTGGAGAGAGTACCTAAAGATTCTTAAGAATCTTATGTATAGGCAACTCATATTCATCGCAAGCAAAGACTGAACGTCCTTGGGTTCGCCTGAAATAGTTCGTGCATGGAAGAGACAGCAGACGACCAAGAAGATGAAACAGCGCTCGATCAGCGAGACGCAGGCAGCCTCCGTAGTGACGCCCTGTCTTTTGGTGAGATGAACCGCCTATACATAGCAACAGATACAAAAAAGCTACCACTTTGTAATTAATAGAATATTCGAACTTAACACCTTTTAACAACTTGCAGTGCTTATATCATAACTTCGAAAACTATGATTAAATGAGAGAAAAGGTGTAGATGGAGACTCCGAGACTGTAGCACTTACGAATACAAAAATCAGGTTGTCCCATAAGTTCCGTCCGTTTTGATTTCACATAATGAGCTTCTTGTTTCTAGATATGCTGCAAGTTAGTGTTCGATAGAGCAAGGCAAGCTCTACGGGATGGCTATCCCGCTTTTGCATCAGCTCTGATCCATCTCGAGGTTCAAGGCAAAAACTGAAAAAGATTCAGCTGCCCGAAAAATCGAGAAAAAATCATAACTTCGTTCAAAAAAATCCTAAAAACTCTAAGTTGCTCGCGTAAACACTATCCATCTAAGACAATACACGCCGTTTCCGTATCCTGTGGCCGTATTCATCAACGAACCGCGAGGGCTAAACTTACCTCCAGGGTTAGTTTAAACCTCAGGGTTCATTGGCCGTATTCATCAACCATAGGGTAGGGTTTACAATGGAACGCAATTCACCCGTATCGATCAACGAACCTGTGGCCGCATCAATGAGTCCTGAGGGTTAAACTAACCCTGGAGGGTTAAGGCGTCAGTTACGCGTGCGCTGTGCAAACTCACATCACAGAATGCCTAAGTACGTGCTGAATTCACTTTATACCTCTATTCTTTCACTATAGTAGTATAATCAACGAATGAGCTTCTAACACAAGATTTTATAATACATCTCTAGCAATTTGTGCAGCATCCAATCTTACAGCGTGAGCTCATCTTCATGTGTGCAATTATGCCGTGTAAGTTCTACTTTTGCGCAGTTCGTTTTATACCGGGCTTGTGCTACTCTTTTAGGGTTCAATGCGTGTTATCATAAAGGGGTTCTTCTGTTTTGGCACTTGTCAGACTGGAATGCGCAACCATTTTCCTCGTCGCATTCATTTGTCACCAAAGCTAGAATTCTCTTTCTCGCAAAGTCAGTGTTTCATGTACTTCGAATTTAAACATAAAAGAAAGTCGAAATTAAATATTATAATAACAACTAATACTAATTACTACAATACTCGTTGATCTTTTTCCATAAAATTGCTACATGCGAGTAAATGTTTGCATGAAGTGTTAGGGTAGAGTTAACCTTGCTCTAAGCTAGGGTCAAATTAACCCTGATTAATCTAAGTTTTACCCTCCAGGGTTAGTTTTACCCTCAGGATTCGTTGATGAATACGGGTTAATCGCTTTCGGGGTAAGATTAACCCTCAAGGGTAGATTTAACCCGCAGAGTTAAGCCTACCCTGTTTCATGAATACGGGTAGTCGTTTTCCAGGGTTTCTCAGGGTCGTTGATGAATACGGCCACTGGTTATAAATTAAGAAAACGAAGATTTTCATGTTTTTGCTAAGCGATGCTGTGCTGTTCCTACGTAGATAGTTGTATACTACATACTAGCCTGTAGAAGTACAAATGTAACTTTTCAGCTCCCTACAAGCTTTGGTTCTCGAGAAATATCGAATACAGCTTGCCTTAGTTGGGTGCCTTTCGCTAAAATCCATATTTCTCGAAAACTAGTGCCTGTAAAGAGCTGAAAACTTACATTTGTACTTCTACAGGAAAATAGTATACAAATATCTATATAGGATCAACGCAGCATCGCTTTAGCAAAAATATGGAAATCTTCGTTTTTTTTCAATTTCTAACCAGGATACTGAAACGGCGTGTATAAATATCTTAGATGGATAGTGTTTACACGAGCAACTTAGAGTTTTTGTAGGATTTTTTTGAACGAAGTTATGATTTTTTCTCGATTTTTCGGGCAGCTGAATCTTTTTCAGTTTATGCCTTGAACCTGGAGATGGATCAGAGCTGATGCAAAAGCGGGATAGCCATCCCGTAGAGCTTGCCTTGCTCTATGGAACATTACCTTGCAGCCTATCTAGAAACAAGAAGCTCATGATTTATTACTTATGGAACAACCTGATACTTTCAAAAGCAGAACTGTTGCAACTGAAAAACTGTAAGTGAGAGATTCGACGCCCATTAATCACCATTGAATAACTTTCAAAGCCTGCTAAACCATGATCAGATGAGGCAAAAAGGGGCTGAAAAACATAAAATTTGAGCCGGTTATAGATACAATTATAATTGTCTTCAAACCGTTCGGTTAGAATTGAGAAGTTTTTCGAAAAAGCGCAACAATTCTGTGCGAAAAGTAGGTAGATTTTCAAATTAGCTATCCTAGGGTTAAATTCTAGCTCAAATGCACAATACAAAGTTGGAGGAGAAATGACGACTACAATAGATTTTAACCTCAGGGTAGATTGATGAATACGGGTTTCGAGGTTGATTTCCACCTCAAGGTAAACTTAACCCTTAGGAAATTTTTTTGCGATGATGATGTGAATATGTGCTAAACCAGAATGATAGCCAGGGTACATTCTAACCTTGAAAGTTCGCTGATTAATACGGCCACAGAAATACTTTACTCACTGGCGGACACGGTCAACATCCATCACCTCCTGAAGAGGACAGAAATTTTTGATCATAACGCTATTATTTGTCTTGCAAAATAGATCGTTCTGATAAAATTACCATAGTTTTTTCAGATAAAATGATTATGTACATAATATATCACTACAAAAGCGTTATCGATGAGTATTTAAAATGTACAGTAACAAATAACTCTAGCATCGCTCGCTTTTATTGCTTCAAAGGCTTCATATTGTAGTATGCTCAAGAAGCGTTGAACCTCAAGAATGAAGATGACGGTCAATCCATGGTGCACCTCTGGATCATCACGGTCTTAAGGAGTATATGGCGGAGGAGGCTGAGACTCGCGACTTCTATTATTGGGATTTGTTGCTCCTTCTGCGTAAGGATTGCTTCTCACAACGCTTATAGTGTAAGGTGGAGGAAAAGCACACGGCGGCGGCTGATTTCCACGGTTCCTGAATGACTGGATTTTGAAGCTTCAAATTTAGAATTCATAAATAGAAGAGCTTCTTAGTGTTACCTAGGTGAGCCCCACTTCAGTTGTAGCAGGCAGATGATCAATGGTACATCAATTACGAGACAAAGAATGGATACCACCAAACCCGCCCATAAAAACACAAGTGCTAAAAATCAAAATTTCTTGGATCGTTTCAACATTGATGAAGGAAACTTGCTAACATCGGCCGTAGAGAGAGCATTGATAACTGCCGAAGTGCCTTAGGCACACGTAATCGTTCCAATGAATCGGTCTTTCAAGCTCGTTATAGGAAACTATAGTATAAATTATCTTTACGATTGCGACCACAACGGGTAGCTTCAGGAGCCACTGAAATATAGAGATCTGCTGCTACTGTAAAGTGGATACGTTGTTAAAGTCGCCAAAGATTGAAGGTTGGGTTTCTTGATGTGTAAAATCAGCTGTACTATGCAAACAAGTAAGGTCTAGGCGCTTAGATTGTAATCAGACGGATATCTGCGCTCTATTGGCGCCTTCTTGATCAAGCGCACTTGATTCTCCTGCGGCTAAATTTCGAACATATTAGGTTGGCTAGAAAGTTCATGCGTAATTCAAACAAAATTCAATAACTTTTCAATGACTATACCTAATCTCACATTCAATTCTTGTACGCTAAAAATATTAGAATTCTTACGCTTCATTATAAATTTTTAAGCGCAAGGTTTCATGAGCTAGCCCCCGAGAACGAAGCTCTCAAATATGGCACTTCAAAATTTGCAATTTTGAGTTTGGTGCCAGAAAATCACAGAGTGCCGCTAGCTAGCCGAAAAAAATCTGTAAAAATTACTTACACTGCAGAAGTCCATAAGTTACTTTGAAAGGCTTTGATCTTGCACGGTGAAGCAAAAACAAAATATTCGTGAAATAGTCATGCGGAAAAAATCCACTCATTGCCGCAGTTTTTCGGCAAAAACAATTTTTTCACTCCAAAAAACGTCGCAAGGTTCCAAATAGGCAATATGTCATATTTCTGGTTGCAAACTGTGTTTTTGTGGAAAAATTACATCGATAAGGGAATTTATCCTGTAAAATGACAAATTCCACAAATTTTTTGTTTTCGCATTTCCATGCGAGATTAAAGCCTGCTAAAATGACCTATGGGCTTCTGCAGTGTAAGTAATTTTTACAGATTTTTTTCGGCTAGCTAGGGGCACTCTTTTCTGGCACCAAGCTCAAAATTACAAATTTTGAAGCCCCATATTTGAGAGCTTCGTTCTCGGGGGCTAGCCCATGAAATCTTGCGCTTACACATCCATCTTGGAGCGCAGGCCTTCTAATATTTTTAGAGAACAAAATTGTGTATTTAGATTTAGTCATTGAAAAGTTATTGAATTTTGTTTGAATTACGCAAGAACTTTCTAGCCAACCTAATATTTGCATTTTATGGCAGGTAGATAGCTTAGGCTACGATTCCCTACAAAGTGAAATTTTCCAACTTTTACTAGCTTTGAGCTACCTTCTTGGACTCACAAATCTAGAATACAACATGATCAGTCTGGTTCTTAGAAAGCGACACATCTAACAAGTAAAGGAAGTTTGGTCGAAGTGGCTTTTTGAAATGAGATGTATACTCTTTTGTAAGCTTGGAACGCGGATTCCAAATCTACCTTTGCTATCTGCTGCGGGCTTCTGAGCGAGGAGTTATGAAGGTTTTTGGGAGTAAAAATCTGAATGCAAGAGTAGGCTAAAATCAGTCGTAACATTTTTTATTGGGTTTAATTGGTAGTCGCGTCACTCGGTGCAACAAATATTCTTGATTCAAACATAGCAATTCGCTGCTGCCTCATTTGAACATTGGGAAAGGGTTACGACTGATTTTACCCTATTTTTGCATTCAGATTTTTACTCACAAAAACCTTCATAACTCCTCGCTCGGAAGCCCGCAGCAGATAGCAAAGGTAGATTTGGAATCAGCATTTTAAGCTTTACAAGGCAGTACACACCTCCTTTCAAAAAACCACTTCGACCAACCTTCCCTCCCTTGTAAGAAAACAGGCTGTGTCTAGATATGTTGTTTTTTCGAAGCGTTTATTTAAAAAAGCTTTATGAGCTCTATTTTTGTCTTTAAGACCAGTTAATATGAATAATAGATTGTAGATATGATTGCACCCAAAAACGTGCTAGGTTAAGAAGAACAAATAGAGCCTTTTGATGATGAAGAACTCAACCCGAGCGCCTTAATTCAAAATGCATCGCAATCTCAGAAGGTCGATAGACATGTGAGTTGGATAATCTTTTCAAAATGGCGTTTCGAGCTAAGCAGAGCAAATCTGAACTCAGCGTTTTGAGCTGTTTCTGAGCATATGCTTCAATTCTGAGAGGCCGGTCCCGGTTGTTCTTCCGTATAGCGCGGGATAACGACCAAGTTGATCACGAGGATGATACAAGATATTTTCTGAGAGTGAAGAGGCAAAATTCCATCTATTGCAGGGTGGGCTTCAAAAGTCCTTATGTGCAGTTGTTAAGCCTTGACCAAGATTGTTACAACTCTTTTATTGAGCTTACGTTTCGGCTGATTCGCCTTCTTCAGAGCCTAAAAAGTGAGCAGTAAATGAAATCTACCCTCCAGTTGTCTTATCGTCACAGGAAAAGGGAAAGTTGTGAATGCCTATAGACAGCTCACCTTAAACCTGCCGAGTGAGGACTGCAGACCACCACTGACATGCGTTGAGTGACTAATGAGCTACGGCACCTGGGTATGAGGGTGTTGGTCAAACCCGCATAACTCCAGGAACGGCGCGAGTTCGTTTGTGAATAATGGTGCTACTACAAGGATGTTTAGACTGTTCAATTTTCCGCTGGTCACGGCAGTACTTTAAACAACTAAGGGGACTAGCCATGGGGCAACGCTTGGCACCTGCCTTAGCTATAAGCTTCATGTCCAAAATAGAAAATTGCGTAATTTCCCGCGGACCCACCCTCTACTGCCGCTACATCGATGACTGTCTCATCGTTTGTCCCACACAGGCAGAAATGGATGTCTGCTTCGATCTACTCAACAAGCAATCAGCTGACATAAGGTTCACCAGGGAAAGACCAAAAGACGACTGGTTGCCATTCCTCAATGTTCAGATAAGCCTGAATAGGGGGGAATGTAAAACTAGCTGGTACAGGAAGCCCACTAGCAAAAATATCTTGATACACTACTCATCTGCGCATCCTATCCGTACAAAAACCAGCGTGATTGGAAATATGCTTCGTACGGCCAAGAGGGTGTCATCTGATGGCACTCTTAAAGCCGCATCAGTCAGTAAGGCACTCCAGATTGCGCAAGCTAACGGATATGAGCCCAGAAAAGTAGTGCGGCGCGCGGTCAGGCTACAGAGGGAACATAGTGATAAGGTACCGTTTTGTTTCCCCTTCATCTCGGACAGGCTGAGCAGCGCAATTAGGACGTGTGTGCGAAAGGCAGGCCTGCAGGATTTGTTGCGAGTTGTCGAATTGCCTCCCCAAAGCCTAAAGCGGCGCTTAGTAAGAAATAGAGCATACGATAAGGCCTGCACAACAACAGATTGCATTATATGCGCTACCAATAAACAAGGGGACTGTATGTGCGCAGGTGTGATCTATCTCTTGACTTATAAATCATGTGGCGAGGAGTACATTGGCGAGACGGGTAGGCCACTATGTCTGAGAATCAAAGAACACATGGACGGGATGCGTAGATCGAGATTATCCACGCCCCTAGGCACGCACCGTAAGGAGCGCCATCAAAACGCAGAATTTGATATCTCTATATCAATTCTGTCGCGAGAATCAGAAGTGGCGGCGCGAAAAACATTAGAAGCCTGCTGGATTTCCGCTAGGAATCCAAAAATGAATAGGAAAGAGGAATGCATCGCCATCACAAACGAACTCGCGCCGTTCCTGGAGTTATGCGGGTTTGACCAACACCCTCATACCCAGGTGCCGTAGCTCATTAGTCACTCAACGCATGTCAGTGGTGGTCTGCAGTCCTCACTCGGCAGGTTTAAGGTGAGCTGTCTATAGGCATTCACAACTTTCCCTTTTCCTGTGACGATAAGACAACTGGAGGGTAGATTTCATTTACTGCTCACTTTTTAGGCTCTGAAGAAGGCGAATCAGCCGAAACGTAAGCCTAATAAAAGAGTTGTAACAATCTTGGTCAAGGCTTAACAACTGCACATAAGGATTCATCACCATGCCAAGATTCATTCAAAGCCGAACATGGGCTTCAAAAGTGTTCTAGCTTTCTAGATGTTCGGGACTGTTTAGAATATTGAGGGAAAGGATAGTCCGCCACTGCTGCATGTTCAACGCATCTCGTATGCCATCTCGCTACTTTATCTTACTACTGGAGTAGCGCACTGAATAGAACTCGTAGACCTTGCAAACGGTGCAAATTGACTCCTCATCGTATACCCCGCATTGTTGGGTTTTACTTTGTGGATTAACCTGCTAAATCGTACTCCAAAGCGCTAGAAAGATGACTCACGAAGACTGTGTAGAACAGTGTTTCCGAAAGACGAGAATTGTCTACTTTGTACCGAGGTATAGCGATCGGAACACGATTAACTTTTCTGCCCCCGCGGTTTTTTTCCAAGAACTGTGGACATTGTACTGTAATTTTTTGCTAGGTAAAATTGCTCTTTGTTTGTTACTCCCAGCTGCGATTGAAGTACGGTTGCAGAACGAGGGAACTGAAGTTGCAGCTTTTTTGCCCTTAGTTCGCGACTAAGATTGAAAATATTGGGTGGGTCCGAAAGTTCGTGCCGTTTTTTTGACCTATCCTCAAACTACTCAGAATAAAGATAGACAAACATTCTAAAAAGTATTCTATGCAGAATTCCTTCCTCTTTCTAGCAGTTATGTTACTGTTCGGATTTCTATGATGTTCGCTTAAAAACCGCCAGAATCTTCAACCCTTGGTTTATAGCTACCTTAATTTTTGCTATTTTTTTAAATTTTCGCTCTGAACCTTTGGAAATGCTTTGCTAACTGTTGGATAGATTAAACAAAATTCTATGCAAAACAGTTTTTTGGCGTCGATAGCTGGCTTTTCAGTATTTTTGAAAGCAAGTTTTCCAAAAGCCTTTACATTTATGAAGTCGTGAAATATACAATCGCTTCAAACACTGCGAAATTTTTGTCAATTGGAACTTTCAAAAATTGTTTGTGATTAAACACTAATTATAACAAACAAATGAGTTTCTACCCCCTCGAAATATTGATTTTTATAAATTTTCTTTTGCAGCCTAGGACGGATCAAAAAACTAGAATTATGGCAATTCTTTCCTCAAGGCCTTTACCAATCAAGAAGAAAAAACATCTGCCAAAGAGGAAGAAAC